GAAATGCAACAGATTTATTTCACATCATAACAGGAAGAACCGGAAAGCCAGAATGTCTGATTTTATCTTGATATCAAATTGTTTTCTTCTGGGACAATACAAATGTAGTTGACGGGCTTTTTACCAGTAGCCGCCCCTGCCCCTACCGAAGCCCCCCCTGCCAAAGGAACCGAAACCCCTGCTGAAGCCGTGACCACCCCCGCCGAAGGAGCCGAAACCCCTACTAAATCCGTGACCACCGTGACCCCTGCCGGATCCATAGCCACGACCCCCGCCAAAGAATCCTGACGGGTCAGGAACCGGGTCAGGGTCAGCCACCGGGTCAGGGTCAGGCATAGCGCTGGTCCAGCCCACGAGTCCTGTCAGGGCCACGATCAGGGCCAATGCTATCGGCAGCTGCAAAGATAATGGCAGCTAGTAGATGTACACTATATCTAAGTTTAATTAATAGATGCTAAAGTTATGAAAGGTGTAAATATACTTACATACTACACACACATACGCATATATATGCATATACGCACACTAGTATGTACGGACACAAACATATATATATCTATACATGAATACATATATACATACGCACACAAATACATAAAGATAAATATAGATATGTGCGTATGTGGGTAAACACACAATTTATATATGCATACATATATATCTGTGTATCTGTATGTATGCACAGACAAAAGCACAAATATGTGTTTAAGTATTGTATGAATTGCTACATAGATGAACGAATAAATGTCAGTATTGCACATAGATTAATTTATTAAGAGTTAATGTAAATTGCATATTAAATCATACGCGCAGTGTATTCATTCTGTCAAATGATAACTAAATAAAATTAATAGATAAAATAAGCAGCGTCTTACCAGCTTCATGTTGAGATCTGATTTACTTTGTGTGGAAGCAGAATAAACTCTGAAGACCCAAGGCTTGAGTTCAAGTTTATATACACAGCCGAACGAAACCCAAGGTCAGAATTGCATGCACTGCTCAATCGCAACTGCCAAACCGCAGACGATCCACTTCGAAGGTCGTTCTCATTTTGTCTGTTTAATCCTTTGTGAAATATGATAGAAGTTGCTTGTAAATTTCAAGATAGAGAACAGAAAAGAAACAAATACAGTATTGCGAAAAAAAAATGTAATTCTGGCAGTCGCTTAAGGACAGTGATTCCTAATCCTAAGTCGATTACGCATCTAGAATAAAAATCAGCGGGAGGAAAAGAAAAGAAAAGAAAAAAAAAAAAAATGGGGAGGAACCCAAAAGTACTTCATAACAGAAGTGTAAAAAGAATCAAGTCGCGTAACGCATGAAAATCTCTGCGCGAACCCATCTGGGACTTCGCTTTGCGATAAGAACATTGTATAAAATGATTCCAGTTTATTGATTTGTGAATAATAACTGTAAGTAGAACCGGGCGAGAGATATCTAAAAATGCCAGGTCCTAATTTCCATGTTGCTTCATTGCCACCTAAAATTACCGTGTAGGCCCCTAAAAAGAACCAGATGACGCCCTAAAAGGAACAGTAGAGCCCCTTAAAAATAGCCGCGTTGCCCCCTAAGGCGAATCGCAAAGCTCCTTAAAACAGAACCGCATGGTCCCCTGAAAAGACCCGAAGAACTGTATTGCCCACTATATAGAACCGCATTGCTCCCTAAAAAGAACCACATGGTCCCTCTAAAAAGAACCGCATGGTCTCCTAAAAAGTTTATTGATTTGTGAATAATAGCTGTAAGTAGAACCGGACGAGAGAAATCTATTAATGCCAGGTCGTAATTTCAATGTTGCTCTATTCTCCCCTTAAATTAAACCGTATGGCCTCCTAAAAATTACCGTGTAGCCCCCTAAAAATAACCAGATGACTTCCTAAAAAGAACAGCATAGCCCCCTAAAAATAACCGCGTGGTCCTTCAGAAAGAATCGCATTGTATTCTGAAAAGAACTTCATGGCTCCCTAAAAAGAACCCTATGACCCCCTAAGGAGAACTGTATGGTCCCCTAAAAAGAATCGCATAGTCCCCTAAATGAACTGGCCCTCTAAGAAAAGAGTCGTATGACCCACTTAAATGAACCACATGGCCCTTTAAAAAGAACTAAATGGCCCACTTAAATGAACCACATGGCCCCCCTAAAAAGGCATGGACCCCTAAGAATTACATGGCCCCCTAAAAAGAATCGCATGACCCTATAAAAAAAATGTAATGCCCCCTAGAAAGAACCGCATGGTCCCCTAAGAACCCCACGGCACCTTAAAAGAGCCGCATGCCTCCCCAAAAAGAATCACTTGGCCCCTTAAAAAGGACCGCATGGCCCCCTAAAAAGAACATGGCCACCAAGTTCGAAACCATTGCTTTAAACTTAGCCAGAGGGTAGGGTCAGCTTCTGAAACGAGGTCAAACACTCTTCAGTACTACACTTGTCTTGATATCTATATCATATCTATCTTATATATATGTATATGGGTCTCTGTCTCTATGTATATCTATCTATATATACATATATACATATACATATATATAAACATGCACACATACATATATACTTATAAACATATTTATATGAATGTGTATGTATATACTTAAATATATGTATTTGTGTATATATTTCTACACACATATGTATGTATACATATATATATATTTATATATACAAACATACCCACACAAGTAGATATATATATGTATAATTGTGTTTATATATACAATACTTACACATTTACACATATATATGTATATATATATATATATATATATTGCACACACATGGATGCACCTACAGTATATATATACACATATTCATATATATACATATGTGCTCTGGGTGTGTATGTATATCACGTACTTCTGAGTATCTGTGTCTGTGTGTTTGTGTAGGTAAGTGTGCTTGTGCGTGTACATAAACTAGGCCTGTTCATCGTGATATTATTCAGTATTTTTTATTTTTTATTATTTATTGTTACGAAAAATATATCATATTTTACCATAAATACTTATAGAATTGATTCCATTCACATTGTCATTGTCATACTGTCATTATGATTATCGGCTTCATCAGTCTTATCATAATGGAAAGCACTTGAAATTTGTTTTAGATATTTGAGCATAATATTCATCATATTTAAACCTGCATATATCCACTATATGATTGTAACACAATACGTAATTTAATAAAGCTCCATGATTATGAATAATTCTTTCATACTTGTTACAAAATAGCAAACAATCAAAATACAATCATTTATTATGAGGAAACTTTGCTTGACGATAACAACGATTTGCTAAACAAAGTGATGTTACTTGTCTCAAAATGCTATCATATTCCAGTTGTGAGTCTATGTAGAATCAACTGTGTTCAGGTTATTTTCTCTATGAATAAATGACTCTATCAATTGAAGAATCCATTGTAACTACCTACGGATTTAATTTTAAAAATGGTATGTATATCTATATATCGGAGAGACTAAACGAAAACTATGCATAACATTTGTACAAAACCAGTATTGCATCGATAGCTTTGAAGTGAGGGCAGGCAATCAAAATAGAAATGCATAAGATTTATTTCACATCATAACAGGAAGAACCGGAAAGCCAGAATGTCTGATTTTATTTTGATATCAAATTGTTTTCTTCTGGGACAATACAAATGTAGTTGACGGGCTTTTTACCAGTAGCCTCCCCTGCCCCTACCAAAGCCCCCCCTGCCAAAGGAACCGAAACCCCAGCCCACGAGTCCTGTCAGGGCCACGATCAGGGCCAATGCTATCGGCAGCTGCAAAGATAATGGCAGCTAGTAGATGTACACTATATCTAAGATTAATTAATAGATGCTAAAGTTATGAAAGGTGTAAATATACTTACATACTATACACACACACGCATATATATGCATATACGCACACTAGTATGTACGGACACAAACATATATATATATCTATACATGAATACATATATACATACGCACACAAATACATAAAGATAAATATAGATATGTGTCTATATGGGTAAACACGCAATTTATATATGCATATATATATATCTATGTATCGGTATGTATGCACAGACAAAAGCACAAATATGTGTTTATGTATTGTATGAATTGCTACATAGATGAACGAATAAATGTCAATATTGTACATAGATCAATTTACTAAGAGTTAATGCAAATTGCATATTCTAAATCATACGCGCAGTGTTTTCATCCTTTCAAATGATAACTAAATAAAATTAATAAATAAAATAAGCAGCGTCTTACCAGCTTCATGTTGAGATCTGATTTACTTTGTGCGGAAACAGAATAAACTCTGAAGACCCAAGGCTTGAGTTCAAGTTTATATACACAGCCGAACGAAACCCAAGGTCAGAATTGCATGCACTGCTCAATCGCAACTGCCAAACCGCAGACGATCCACTTCGAAGGTCGTTCTCATTTTGTCTATTTAATCCTTTGTGAAATATGATAGAAGTTGCTTGTAAATTTCAAGATAGAGAACAGAAAAGAAACAAATACGGTATTGCGAAAAAAAAATGTAATTCTGGCAGTCGCTTAAGGACAGTGATTCCTAATCCTAAGTCGATTACGCATCTAGAATAAAAATTAGCGGGAGGAAAAGAAAAGAAAAGAAAAGAAAAAAAAAAATGGGGAGGAACCCAAAGGTACTTCAAAACAGAAGTGTAAAAAAAATCAAGTCGCGTAACACATGAAAATCTCTGCGCGAACCCATCTGGGACTTCGCTTTGCGATAAGAACATTGTATAAAATGATTCCAGTTTATTGATTTGTGAATAATAACTGTAAGTAGAACTGGGCGAGAGATATCTAAAAATGCCAAGACCTAATTTCCATGTTGCTTCATTGCCACCTAAAATTACCGTGTAGGCCCCTAAAAAGAACCAGATGACGCCCTAAAAGGAACAGTAGAGCCCCTTAAAAATAGCCGCGTTGCCCCCTAAAACGAATCGCAAAGCTCCTTAAAACAGAACCGCATGGTCCCTAAAAAGAACCGCATGGTCCCCTGAAAAGACCCACATGGTCTCTTAAAAACAACTGCATGGCCTCCTAAAAAGAACCGCATAGTCCACTTAAATAAACCACATGGCCCTCTAAAAAAAAGCTTGGCACCCGAAGAACTGTATTGCCCACTATATAGAACCGCATTGCTCCCTAAAAAGAACCGCATGGTCCCCCTAAAAACAACCGCATGGTGTCCTAAAAAGTTTATTGATTTGTGAATAATAGCTGTAAGCAGAACCGGATGAGAGAAACCTATTAATGTCTGGTCATAATTTCCATGTTGCTTCATTGCCTCTTACATTAAACCTCCTAAAAATTACCGTGTAGCCCCCTAAAAATAACCAGATGGCTTCCTAAAAAGAACAGCATGGCCCCCTAAAAATAACCGCGTGGTCCTTCAAAAAGAATCGCATTGTATTCTGAAAAGAACTTCATGGCTCCCTAAAAAGAACCGCCTGGCCCCCTAAGGGAAACTGTACGGTCCCCTAAAAAGAATCGCATAGTCCCCTAAATGAACTGATCGGTCCTCTAAAAAAAGAGTCGTATGACCCACTTAAATGAATCACATGGCCCCTTCAAAAGAACCAAATGGCCCACTTAAATGAACCACATGGCCCCCTAAAAAGGAATGAACCCCTAAGGCATGGACCCCTTAAAAGAGCCGCAAGCCTCCCCAAAAAGAATCACTTGGCCCCTTAAAAAGGACCGCATGGCCCCCTAAAAAGAACATGGCCACCAAGTTCGAAACCATTGCTTTAAACTTAGCCAGAGGGTAGGGTCAGCCTCTGAAACGAGGTCAAACACTCTTCAGTACTACACTTGTCTTGATATCTATATCATATCTATCTTATATATATGTATATGTGTATGAGTCTCTATGTATATCTATCTATATATACATATATACATATGCATATATATAAACATACACACATACATATATACATATGCATATATATAAACATACACACATACATATATACTTATAAACATATTTATAAGAATGTGTATGTATATACTTAAATATATGTATTTGTGTATATATTTCTACACACATACGTATGTATACATATATATATTTATATATACAAACATACCCACACAAGTAGATATATATATGTACAATTGTGTTTATATATACAATACTTACACATTTACACATATATATACATATATATAGATATATTGCACACACATGGATGCACCTACAGTATATATATACACATAGTCATATATACACATATGTGCTCTGGGTGTGTATGTATATCACGTGCTTCTGAGTATGTGTGTTTGTGTAGGTAAGTGTGCTTGTGCGTGTACACAAACTAGGCCTGTTCATCGTGATATTATTATCAGTGTTTTTTTTTATATTTTATCATTTATTGTTACGAAAATATATCATGATTTACCATAAATACTTATAGAATTAATTCCATTCACATTGCCATTGTCATACTATCATTATGATTATGCTTCATCAGTCTTATCATAATGGAAAGCACTTGAAATTTGTTTTATATGTTTGAGCATAATATTCATCATATTTAAACCTGCATATATCCACTATATGATTATAACACAATACGTAATTTAATAAAGCTCCATGGTTATGAAAAAGCCTTTCATACTTGTTACAAAATAGCAAACAATCAAAATACAATCATTTATTATGAGGAAACTTTGCTTGGCGATAACAACGATTTGCTAAACAAAGTGATGTTACTTGTCTCAAAATGCTATCATATTCCAGTTGTGAGTCTATGTAGAATCAACTGTGTTCAGGTTATTTTCTCTATGAATAAATGACTCTATCAATTGAAGAATCCATTGTAATTACCTACGGATTTAATTTAAAAAAATGGTATGTATATCTATATATCGGAGAGACTAAACGAAAACTATGCATAACATTTGTACAAAACCAGTATTGCACCGATAGCTTTGAAGTGAGGGCAGGCAATCAAAATAGAAATGCATAAGATTTATTTCACATCATAACAGGAAGAACCGGAAAGCCGGAATGTCTGATTTTATTTTGATATCAAATTGTTTTCTTCTGGGACAATACAAATGTAGTTGACGGGCTTTTTACCAGTAGCCGCCCCTGCCCCTACCAAAGCCCCCCCTGCCAAAGGAACCGAAACCCCTGCTGAAGCCGTGACCACCCCCGCCGAAGGAACCGAAACCCCTGCTGAATCCGTGACCGCCGTGACCCCTGCCGGATCCATAGCCACGACCCCCGCCAAAGAATCCTGACGGGTCAGGAACCGGGTCAGGGTCAGCCACCGGGTCAGGGTCAGGCATGGCGCTGGTCCAGCCCACGAGTCCTGTCAGGGCCACGATCAGGGCCAATGCTATCGGCAGCTGGAAAGAAAATAGCAGTCAGGTGTATACTAAATCTAGGTAAAAAAAGAAAAAGAAAAAGAAAAAGAGAAAAAAAAAGATACTAAAGGTGTAAATATACTTGCATACTGCACACA